CACTGATGGAGCAATTGGGAGCAATTAAGGTTCAGTATCTTGGCCAAGGACACTTCGACATGCAGATCTTCCGATTAGTGGGCAAACCACTCTACCTCCTGAGCCACAGCCACCCCACCAATTACATATTGGTGGTGCTTTGCAAGCAAGAGGAGCACATATTCTCTTGCAGCATGCATCAAAGCCACTTCTTTGGAAATGTAGAACTTTTCAGTTGCCACAAGGCTTATAACTGTGATGCCTTCGCTGCCTTTTGATTTGTACCAAGTAATGATGATGATGTCTTCATTGTTGACTTAATTAATAGTAGGGCAAATACTCAGTTCGATAACACACTCTGAAATACTTAAATGACATCTCATAAGTAGCTTAAACGAGAGTTTGCTGTCTGATTGTTAAATAATCATAAACTGTATTTACAAGGCAGGTTCTACTGGCTCTCTTTGAAAATGTAAGATGTTGTGGTAATGTTGGGAGCATAGACTTGGTCAGACAATAGGTCGTGGTGAGACTCGGCCTTTAATGGGTCTTATGAAAGCCTTCACCCCATTTTATTTTTCTGGAATGCTTCCAGACTGGTAAGGCTTATTTATAACTATCAGGTAATTAGATAGTCCTTTTAAGAAGCTACCTTTTTGGTTTGGCATATAAATAAGTTCAAGAACAATGTCTTAAGTGCCACTAAACAGCTACTAAATCAACATTAACAAAGACTACCAGTACATTATCATTTTCTTAATTACAACTTGAATCAATATTCTCTGTCTAATAACATCTTCACTGTCTTGTCACTATGTAAATGGTACCTTTGTATTCCTTCCCAGAGTTGTCAACTGCAGTTCCTCATATTCAGCCTTGCACTTTGCTGTACAATGTTGATAATTATTCTTTGTGCAATAGCATATGCAACCTCAAAACCTTGTTTACTGGTAGCACCTGTGGCTTTGTTAACAGGAAATAAGAGTTTCCTCGTTTACACACGCTCTGCCATTATTTTTTGTTGATGCATCTCATGTAGATGTCTCCGAGATCTGCTTCAGATGTCAGTATCAGGTGGTGTTTGGGCAAGTTGTATTATGTACAAAAATGTATGCAAGTGTGACACAGAAACTTTACAATTTTAAGGGGTTCACCAGCAATTTTGTATTAGACATCCATAATATTGGCTTACTCAATATTTTTGAATAATTAAAATAATTGTTTCTCTGCATAGTCACCGAGGTCAACTGTTTTCACAGACTTAATAATACTCATCATGGGTAATCTTTATGTGTAGAATCTAAAGAAGTGAAACAATCAACAGTCACATTACTAATGGACATTAATTAGACAATTAGCAAATCCTCAGTTGTTGACAGGTTACATTTTTGTAAGTTAGCAACTCCACAACAAGGTAAATAGCAACTGGAGGATTCATATTGTTTTTTGACAAACAAGGTTGCTTCTCCTTTCAGGCTTCTTATTGTTTGCCCAGGTCCCCTCACAGTGAGCTACCTCTCTCCTTGTGCCCTGTCTTTCTTGCCTATGCAGGTCTGTAGGGGAAGAGCCCTCCAGATAATTAGAGACTTGCCAGTGGAATTTCACTGTGACAAAGGGAGCTATTCATGTCTGCAGGATGGCGAAAAGGCAGCTCTGGCAGCAGCGATAGCATTGCTCGTAGGAGTTAGCAAAATGAAGAGACTTGACTTCTTCCAAAGACGCCTAAGCTCTTAGCTCAATGCAATGCAAACGTAACCCCTATCTTTGCTTCTGTTTTGCCATCTGTCATCTTCTATTGCCCTGCGGCATGGGAGGATATATAGTATCTCACAAAAGTGAGTATATCTCTCATTTTTGTAAATATGTGATTATATTTTCATGTGAAAACCCTGAAAAAATTACACTTTGCTACAATGTAAAGTAGTGAGTGTACAGCTTGTATAACTTCACTGCCTTAACCCTCTTTGGGCATGGAGTTTACCAGAGCTTCACAGGTTGCCACTGGAGTCCCCTTCCGCTCCTCCATCCTCCATCAGCTGGTGGAGGACCATACCTCCTCCACCTTCCGTTTCAGGATGCCCCACAGATGCTCAATAGGGTTTAGGTCTGGAGACATGCTTTGCCAGTCCATCACCTTTACCCTCAGCTTCTTTAGCAAGGCAGTGGTCAACTTGGAGGTGTGTTTGGGGTCATTATGTTGGAATACTGCCCTGCAGCCCAGTCTCAGAAGGGAGGGGATTCTGCTCCACTTCAGTATGTCACAGTACATGTTGGCATTCATGGTTCCCTCAATGAACTGTAGCTCCCCCGGTCCGGCAGCACTCATGCAGCCCCAGACCAGGACACTCCCACCACCATGCTTGACTGTAGGCAGACACACTTGTCTTTGTACTCCTCACCTGATTGCCGCCACACACACTTGACACCATCTGAACCAAATAAGTTTATCTTGGTCTCATCAGACCTGCTTGTCTTCAGCAAACTGTTTGCGGGCTTTCTTGTGCATCATCTTTAGAAGAGGCTTCCTTCTGGGATAACGGCGATACAGGCCAATTTGATGCAGTGTGCAGTGTATGGTCTAAGCACTGACAGGCTGACTCCCCTCATACGGCAGCACTCATACGTCTGTTTCCCAAAGATAACCTCTGGATATGACGCTGAGCATGTGCACTCAACTTCTTTGGTTGAACATGGCAAAGCCTGTTCTGAGTGTAACCTGTCCTGTTGAACCGCTGTATGGTCATAACATCTTTGCTGCAGCTCAGTTTCAGAGTCTTGGCAATCATCTTATAGTCTAGGCCATCTTTATGTAGAGCAACAATTCTTTTTTTCAGATCCTCAGAGAGTTCTTTGCCATGTTGAACTTCCAGTGACCAGTATGAGTGTTAGAGCAATAACGCCAAATTTAACACACCTGCTCCCTATTCACACCTGAGACCTTGTAACACAAATGAGTCACATGACACTGGGGAGAGAAAATGGCTAATTGAACCCAATTTGGACTATTTCACTTAGGGGTGTACTCACTTTTGTTGCCAACGGTTTAGACATTAATGGCTGTGGGATGTGTTATTTTGAGGGGACAGCAAATTACACTGTTATACAAGCTGAACACTCACTACTTTACATTGCCGCAAAGTGTCATTTTTTCAGTGTTGTCACATGAAAAGATATAATCAAATATGTACAAAAATGTGAGGGGTGTATTCACTTTTGTGAGACTGTATCTGAGTCGACCCATGTCACAGGCTTTCAGCGCAGGGGCTAAATAGTTGACCTCCCATTTTAACATGTTGTCTTCAGTGAGGTGATTTGGTGTCTCTGAGGCATATCTGACCTATATTGCTTCAGCCATACTCTGCACAGACACAGTCCATTTCACTAACTGCAACTTAGTGAAGGCCCTCTGCCTCACGTCTTGCATTTCTTTGCATTGCCATCCATCTCGCTATCCTCTCCTCTCCCCAGCTTTTCTGCAGGAAAATTGATTCTTTATGGTCAGACAGAAGGGACTTTCCCTCATGTGACATGTGAAGTGCAACCCACCCTACCCCTTTTCACATCACATTTTCCGCATATTCTATCAAGTGTAGACTAGGAGTGGATGATGGACACTATTCTCTGTCACAGTAAAGTCCTTTTAAAACACTATACTACACTGAACAAAATTGTAAATGCAACACTTGCTGAACTCAAAGATCTAAGACTTTCTCTATGTACACAAAAGGCCTATTTCTCTCAAATGTTGTTCACAAATCTGTCAAAATCTGTGTTAGTAGCACTTCTCCTTTGCCGAGATAATCCATCCACCCACCTCAGGTGTGGTAAATCAGGATTCTGATCAGACAACATGGGTATTGCACAGGTGTGCCTTAGGCTGGCCACAATAAAAGGCCACTGAAATGTTTAGAAAAGACACTTTAGAAAAATCTGATGGTTAATGAATTTATATCATCTCACAATATTTATTATATCGCCAAACCTTAGTGTCCACAAAGACGTGTAAATGAAAATGTAATATACATAATGAACCTTTATTAGAGCACACAAATTATTACAACACAAGATACTAATGTCTAATTTCACAGCACTCTCACATCGCATTCATTCCGCATTTCCTGTCCAATGGGATCGTAAAGGCATTTTGCAGCAAGTAGGCCTAGCTGATTGTTGTCAGTATACATGTAAATTAGCTATAAATGCTCAGATACATTTTGACATTACTGTGTTGTTTTCTAATACATAGTTGTGTATTTTGTAATAAACCTCGCCAGATAATGGATAAAATGTTTGTCACGTAATACTTGCTGCATGTTATTCTTTTCAGTTTTACATTTCTGGTCAGGTACAAGTTACACAAACAAGATACAACTTTTTAATAAGACATTTTTGTTAGTTAAGTTAT